CCCCCCCCCCTCCCCCCTGCCCCTACCATACATTATGAGCGCAGCCTAACCAAAAGAAAGGAGCCCTAATTAATGCCCACTTTCCTGAACTGAAATATTCAACTGCGCGACGTGCGTTCAATCATGYTCCCGTTCCTAAGATATCTAAATATTTTATTAGATGCGATATTGAAAAAGCGGTATCCTTTACGTTATTATTTTATTATTTTATTATTTATTTTGTTGTTTCGTCGTAATTAAGTTTTGTCTCAAAGACGACACCGATTTGCTCAGATAGATTTGCTTTTCAATATTATACAAAACTTAATGTAATTTTACCTTCAATTACAAATTTATGGCTATACTAGGTTAAATATTTTTGATCTCGAAACTGATCATTCCCAAAAATTAATTTGAAATAAATAATATTAGCGGACGTATCTCGATATCAAAAAAAATRTTATACAAACCCCTCATTTGTTTTTAAACTTGTGGATATGCGTAGCGTAGAAACGAGTTAATAGAACGATTTCACACAAGTTAAAATTGAACTTAAAAGATAGTTTATTTAATCAGAGGCTGAACCGAGAAGCAAGAAGAAAAAGTTACAGAGAGCTAGTGGCTCGTGAAGCGTATAAAGAAATAGTGTGCAGTAAAGCAACGTGGTTACACTCTAACGCGTAAAGAATTTGCAGACTAACGTCTATAGGGCCAAATCAAGAAGGGATTTTGAAATTGAAATGAAACGAAATAAAAAGTGATCATTATTTTCCCGTGAAATGCGGAATTCTTTCTTTTAACACACGAAATTGAAATATTAGCACTTTGAAAATAATTGTGTTGCTTGTAGCTCAGCTACCTTGTTTGTACGCCTTCTAAGGCTTCGTCATATGTGAGTAAAAGCAATTATTGGCCACCTAACACCTTCAACAAAGAATAATACCGTATTCCCCGGAAAAGAATGATCACCTTTGGTTTAAGGGCGCATTAAGTTCGAAAAAAGAATTAAAGCAAAAAGGTCTATTCAAACAACGAAATGTTACAAAAATGATCATTTGAATAATAAGTTCTTCATTTCAATTTCACTGTCCCTTCTTGATTTCTGGTGTTCTATTTATCGATGTGGGATGGCATCTGGATTGTTTCCAATACAGTCGGACGCTATAATCGTGCGCACAAGCCTACCAATCTGTGAGAGGACTGGTACTACACAGCCAACTCATATCAGAAATCCGCAATCGATTMATTTGCAAGATAGATGAACAAAAGGGTAAAAAATTGTAAAACCAATCACTCGATCAGAAAATTTACACCTACCTACRAGAACATTATCATACGAAAATAGAACATTAGTGATTTAGTGGTATGGGAATATTATATCAAAAAACAAAAGAAAATCACTGAAGCTGAACTTTTTCTTTCGTCTTTTAATGAATTCCTTTCTCACTAAATTACTAATGTTCTAATATCGTATGACAACGTTCTTGCAAGTAGGTGTATATCGTATGACAACGTTCTTGCAAGTAGGCGTATACTCATATAATAATTTCTAAACAATAGTTATAACTCAAAATAAATACACTTTAATATCCACGRGTTCTCCTTTGAATGGCTATGTTTCAAATTTCATATTACACAAGCAGTTTATAGAACTGAATTAGGATCGTTCACAGAGTCAATTGATTTGAACGATTCTGTCTGATAAACAAGCCTTAGTATAGGTCGCGGGTTCGTTTCCCAGCGAGGTCGGAAATTAATTTTTCCGAATTTAATTCAAAGGGCTTTCGCCCGCACTATAACTTATCTGTATTTCTATATCTTCATGTATTTCATAAGTGCTACGCGGTCCACATATTCTCAAGCCTTAGTATAGTATGCTTGTGCCTCATCTTGAAAGCCTCTTATCAAACGAAAGAAAAACTCTTATAATTAGTTGTTTGGCAATTGCAAGGGTTATCTTTTCTCCATAATGAAACGGGGTAATGATTCTTTCTGAACTTAGCATCACATGACATGTGAGTAGAGCTCTTTAGGCTCTACTGAAATCCGCAAGGCCGAACAAGCTAAAATCTAATTCGATCTGTGAGTTAGCTGTGTTATGTTCGGAGAATCGAAAATTTGACTCCAGAAAAGTTAGTTTTTATTTCAAATTAAAAATACTATGTTCGAGTTTACTAATTTCAACATGCTCTTTTGAAAAATGATAAATTTTTTTAATTTTATTTCTATTTTTTTACTAATTTAAAAAATATAAAGTTTTATAACTTATATTACACTCTACAAAATTACTGGATTCTGATTGGACAAGAGGAGTACAATTATATCCCAAATTGTACTCCGTAGAGTCCCAATTAAGTTGCTCAATTTTTAGGCTTGTTGCAGTGATGGCGTAATTTTGCTATCACAACAAGAAAATTTTTGGTGATTTTTTTCATATTCAAATTTCTATTTTCTCGTGAGCGCATTGCAGGAGACTTTGGGAAAATGAATGCCATCTTTGCTTTATCATAAAACTATTGTTCAAATTAATCTTCCTGCCAAAGAAATTTCGACTAATGAAAATAAAATTAAATGTTTGTAGAAGATATATTTTTTCTATTTTCAATTTACTTTTTTTTGTGACAAATAGCGCAATCTTCTGATGTGTAAAAATAGTTAAATTAATATTTAAGGACGTTTGACATTTTACGGATGGTATCTCAGATTTCTGAATATTGACTTAATTAAACTTGCTTAAACTAACGAGAAACTAATAAAATATTAATAGAAATTATGTTATAACGTCCCAAAATGATTTTTTTTTTTTTTTTTTTTTTTTTTTCAAGGAACGAGTGACATCTTAAGGATAGAATTCATATTTCTGACAGAAACATAATTAGGGAAACATGGGGAAATGTAAAAATGGTTGGCCAAAATAGGAGCACCTCCTACAAATTAAAACTAATGTTAGTAAGAAGATTTGGAATTGATCGCGCCTGATAACTAAACCTATTAGAAACTTTTCATTTCCTCATTCCTAACCCCCGAAACATTAGCGATAGTTTCCAAAGACACTATAAATGTTTAACCCATTACTATTGTTTATTACTGAAAGATAGTATAGATAGATAGGTAGATAGAAAGATAGATAGGTCGTGGAAAATCTTAGCAACAGCGCCAAGCCCAATTTTACTGACGTACTCTATCAAGGCTATACTTTACTTTTTTGCACAAGGATATTTCAATAGTAAGCTTTCTCAAGGAAAAAAATAAATGATTCAAACGAAGGAGAAGAAAAGAAAAATGGCATATGTCTTGAACGTTTTCGAACTGATTCCAATGGCAAGAAGGAAGGAAGGAAGGAAGGAAGAAAGAAAGAAAGAAAGGGAAAAAAAGAAAGGAAGAAACGAAGGAAGAAACGAAGGAAGAGAGA